ATCGTCGATCGTTCTCCTCGCAACAGGTCCCGTTTCGTGGAAGACGCGACAGCGGCGAGGCCGTGGAGCGTGATCGGCACGCCGAGTTTCGCGGAACTCCACAATGGCGCCTTTTAATGGAATATCGAGTAGGACCTCTCCATTTGCTTCTCGAAACCGATGGACACTCGAGAGTTGACTCACGTGGCTGCCGACAAGGCGTTTTCTTTTACTCGTGCGTTGAACTACACCCGCGCAGCCGCGTAGCCGCACACCTGCACCCGAAAGAACTCGCGTGCGTCGTGCGCTTGGCGAGCTGATCCATTGTTCCCGTGCGCCGCGAAACTCTCGTGAGAACTGGCCGTAACAATGAGAGACGGTTCCTCCATCTGGGGGAAAAAGTCTAGTCGAGGGCGTTCCAGTTTCCTCGCGGGGAAAATTGCTCGAGTTTCAAGGAGGAAACCGGCCCCTTAAGGCCCCTAAAGGCTCGGATCGCGAAATCTCCTAGTAAACCATTCATTCTTCGCCTGCTCTTCGTCCGACCTTAACGGGACGTTGTTCGTCGGGATGAAATAGTATCGAATGAAAGAACAGTAGAGAGCAAAGTGAACTGCCGAATGGAAATTATTGTAAATCTTTCTCTATTCTTTTTCTCTCGATTTTCCTAAGTCGGCTCCAATGATTTTCAGGCCTGCGTGATTTTCACGGGACGAAAAGGGGATCGTGCGCGGTTGGAAGGTCGCTCGGGACCACTGCGTGTGCCGGAGAATTACGTAAGCGGCGAGAGAAGGCGACGAAAGGCTGAGAGAAAAGAAGTACGAGGAGAAAGAGGAGAAAGGAGAGAAAGAGGAGGAAGAGGGGACTCGTACGTTCCATAGCTCGGGGCCCCGGCCTTCCTAAATTCCAACAGCGCATCCCGTTAGTCTTCCACCTGTACGATCGGGAATGCCCGGCGTAACTATTGACCACTTTCCAGTCTGTTTACCGGCGGCCGTCCACAAGAATTATGAATGGGACTATCGAACGGCGAATCCGTTTCTCCTTAACGCCGAATCTACCGACCGATCGAATCGGCTGCTTTGTGTTTTCTTGTACGATTTAGAAGACGCCGCGTATCGAGATTTCTCGCTAAAGTATGGAAACGTTGGAAGCAGCCGGTACGTGGTCGTAGCGTTACGTCGAGATCGGCTGCGAAACACTCGTCGGAGGATCTAATTACGTCGGCTTACCGAGAGAGCTTGCCGGGAGACCTGGCCCTAATTAAAATCGCGCGTAATTAATGTTGCTTCGTTCCGGAGAAAAAATTGCGTGCGCCGATGTCGTGTCCGGATACCGGTGGTTGCGGTGTCGATTAGCCGAATTCGAGTTTACACTTTATTGGATAGCTGTGTTGGTCATTATTTGGTTTATTGTAAACAAGTTCGATCGATCGGCGATAATATTTTGATTCGATGACTGTGCCAAGTCTATCGTCTATCGTCGCTCTTCCCAGAACAATAACTGTTTCTTCTTCAACTCGGATCGAAGATTAGCCGGAGCTGTTACGATCCGGATTCCTCGGGAACATTCTAGGCTTCTCGGGCCGCAAAAACCGCGCGATAACGATCGGCCGCGTTATTTTCTCCGGCGGAAAAAGAGAGGAAAGTGTCCCGGCCGGGGAGCCTCGTGCCGCGGCGCTTCTTTCATCGAGACTTTTCCGCCGATCCAACCACCTCGAAGCAAAAACCCGCTACGAATCGTTCGCTCTTCCGGTAGGTTTCCCGCAAAACATCTAGCGGGATCGATGGAACGCGAAAAAAAGAATCGCGTTTTCTGCGTTCGCGATCGGCGAACCGAATCCCAAGTACATACTTGTATACCAACGTCTCGAAGAAACGTGTTCGTGGATGACGGACGTTGATCCGTGATTCTGCCGGCTCGGATTGGTCAATTATCTTCCTTGAACCGAGAAAAAGCATTTCGAAGAGAACGATTTCGAAGGAAGAACGCGCTTCCTGCGGTGAATACGGTCGATCGTTATCCTTTTTCTCGAGAAGTAGCGTCTTCCGCCCTTCCCGAAACGTCTGTCCGCGCGAACCCCTAGGTTGTTTCTTTGACATTTTCTTCTTCTTCTTTTCCGTTCGTTCGATTTGAACGCGTCGGTAAGCAGAATGTCCGAGTAGGTGCACGGAACCTTCGATAGAAATCTGTACTCTGAATGTTTTCGGTAGGCGCGAACGGGTGTTGCGACAACGTTACTCCGATCGGCCGAGAAACCTCCGGAAAGCCCGCGGCGAGGAAACGATCGAATCGACGGAAATCCATACATCTTTCCGATGATGGAGAAAAGAAGGCGATATGCGGACGGGAACGCGCACGCGAACGCACATGCGGACGCACGTGATATATCCCGGCCGCGCGTCCCCGGAGCAATGGCGGTTTGCTCAATCGGATTCCGTGAACTCGCTTGGCCGCGCGCGCGAAAGAAACTCGGTACCGAGAGCCGGCAATGCGTGACCAGGAGACGCTTGCCGCGAGATTAATTCCGCCATTTCGACACGTCCGACGACGAATGTGTCCCGCGTTCGGGTTGCGCCATCCGAACGCCTATTTTCCGAAGGTTTCGCCTGGTTTAACGTCGCGGGACTATCTTTTCTTTGTCAAGGATTTTTCGTCGAAAGCGGACAGCGAACAGCGAACGCGTAACTCGTGTTCTCGCTCGTACGAACGAGACCTTGCGGAGACCGATTATCGTTTGCTATGTCGAAAACTACCGTGACTCTCGGTAACGGTAAATACCGATCGTTCGACGAGGTTTCGAACAACTTTTGCTGCTTGTTTGCCGCGTGTTTTACCGCGTGCTTCACCGCGTGCTTTACCGCGTGCTTGTAATTAAAAACTCGAAGCGTCGACGGCTGCGTTCGCTGTTTGTAACCAGATGTTATATAATCCGGCTCCTCGAGGGCCGAATTACGTAACGGAACCGTTCCTCCGGTCATCGTCGCGTAGGCCTGTCTCCAGCGATCGACACCGAGAGGTGCGTGGATCTCGACTCGTTTCCTATTCGGTAGGACATCGAATAGAGCGGAGACTCGCGCGAATCTTCTCATGCGCGTTCACCCCGAATTTCTTCCCTCGAGATTCAAAGATTAGATCGGCGTTCCGCGTCGCTCGAGAAAAAGCCGCTTTCCTTTCTGTGATTAAGGAAACATTAATCACGAGATGTACGGCCGGGGATCGTGAATGAATCTTATCTGGATATCGCGCGGGAAAAAACAGATTTCAACAGTGATTTCATAAGCGAGCCTCGAGTGCCTCGGATTGCGACAGTCCCCGCGCCACGGCGCGCGTTGCCCGAACGGGCTGAATGGACGCTCGTCTGGCACGTTTAGTGTAAAAACAGTGGTCCGGAATCGTTTAAAATTCCGCCTCGACGAGATGCTTTCGCGTGAGACCAGTCCTGTGTGTGACCAATCCACTCGCCGACTCGTTGGATTCACTCTCGTTCGGATCGTTGGTTCGCGATTCTGAACTGGCCCGGCTTTGCATCCGGGCCCGCGAGTCGATGATCCCGAACAAAGCCAGTCGGATTTCGGCTAGATCGTAATCGTGTCTTCGTATCCTCCGTTTGTCTTTCTTCCTCGCGTTTCAAGGCTGTTTGGTCGACGCGAGCTCGGAGGTTTTCGTGCGATTACACGGTCCGTGAATAATTGGAACAATTTCCTCGACGATTACCGTTTCTTTTCGTCCCGTTCCGTCTCGCGTTCTACAACATGGCGAGTTTGCGTTCGCCGCTCGGGGAAAAGGATCGACGAGATAACAGAGGGAGAGGTAGGGAAGACGGGGAGGCGGAATAAATCGACTCCCGATGAGCCAGCACTTTCGACGTCGTCGTCGTCGTCGTCGTCGTCGAAGCAAGAGGTTTCGAGCTCGACTTCGTTCGATTATTATATCACGGAACAAAGTGTAATTAAACTCGACTTGTGACTCTGCGTAATTTCATTATATTATATAATGAAAGCGAGAAAAATGATGGGGCGTTCGAGAGTACCCGTTCGCCTTGGCCAAGTTCCTGTCGCTGTGAACGCGAACATCGAGAACGAACAAAAAATTCGTTAGACTTATAAATCAGGAAGCCACGATTAGTGGGAGAAAAGAATGCCGAGGAGAAGACCACGTAACGCTTCATTTTTATTCCTCTAATTAGACTACGAAGCGCGCGCGCCGGTGATCGTAACGATGCGCAGTATTAGGTATCTCTATGGTAATAGTTGTTCCGACGAACTCACACGCGACCGGCTGGCAGGAATATTTTCATGTTTTTCTTCGACAAATTACCGCGTCGATTAGTCTGGAATTATTTTGAATTCGCGTTGGTCGCACGAGTCGGTCGAACACGAATCGGAAGATGTCGGATAGTATCGTATCGAAGTTTCAACGAAGCGGAGTGATGGGAGTCGAGGATGTGGCGTTAACCGGTAGCCCGCGCGTAAATGGTAACCGATCCGTCTATCCCGGCCGACACGGGAGAACGATAAGGGAGATTGAGTTATGGGAAACGATCTTGTCGTTTTTATTGCGAGCTTCGTCTTCCAAGTGTCACCGTACCACTGTATCGTGTTACTCGTCGCAGTGTGCGGCTATTAGCGTTGACGAGCCAACGTTTCAGGAATCCATGCCGTCGACAAACTCGAACGTCTCCCGCAAACGTTTGTCCCATTCGAAATCGTTCACAATGTTCGATGCGCATTTTCGGAAAACGTTTCGCAAGGACAACGATAACGGTCGGCGTTCAGCCGTGGCACATGACCCGGAAATCGTACGTGACGAACGGCGAAAGCTCGTGTTTGCGGAAGCCGAGGCGAATCCGTGTCGCGCGTTCCTTTCAACGTCTGCTTTCCTTTTGTTCCCATTTGTCACGTACGAGCATTATTATTTGCAAACGTTGTAACAGACTGCAAACCAAACGAGTCGAACGAATTTTGATTTCTCATCAAACGTTTTACCAACATTCGACGAGTACATGCTGTTTGTTTTTTTAGGAATAGGGAGGAAAGGCCATCCAGAATGGTTCTAACCGTGACCGAGGACACACCGGCGGACATGCTGGCCGGAAGTATGGAGCTTCTGGTCCAATTACCTCGGGAACACCATCAGCAGACTCAGAGGGTCACGGTGCAAAGAAGGTAAGAACTTGGGGTAAGGGGAACGAATAATCCCGACGGTGTTTGACAATTTCCACTGGAGAGACGACGGGTCGGTTCAAAGGAACGACTCGGTGGTGAGGGTCGCGCGATTTTCCACAGATTCTCTCCCGTGAGAAGAGATGCGAGTCCGAGGACGTGTGCTGCGTCCGACTCGTGATCGCGCACCGTGTCAAGTATCGAGTATTAAGCATCGAGCAAACTACAAAGTATCAAGTATAAAGAGACCGCCTAACGGTCCCGGGGGACATCGGTCTGGAAATGAAATCGATTAGCCGCACGAAAAGCAACCGTGGCCGTTTCGGTACACTTGATTTATCCAGCTGATCGTCGCCGAGTCGTCCTGAAACGAATCTAACGGTCCCATTAGCAGATTGATTTCTGGACCGGCGAAGATACGGTGGTGCCCGGCAACCTTGGCGTAATCGCACCGTGACGATCTCGAAATTACCATTGCTGATGCACAATTCGATATTCTCCTCTGTTGTTTGAACCGCTCGCCGTTTCGGCTAATTACTCGTCGTCGAGAGATTCGCTCAAAATCAGTTTTTCCTTAGTCTTGTTCTCTCGTTCGGGCGATCCTTGGTCCTCCTTGTTCGCTGAACTCGACGCTAAAAGTTTCGAACGTTTCTGTCGACAGTACGCCCATGATGGACCTCCTTGTCCAGATCGCCACGGCCCACAAACTAGCAGCCTCGAGCTACACGTTGCAAGCTATCGGAGAACGCGGAATGGTTCTACCTCATCAACCCAACACACCTATCGGGGCATTGGATGCGCTTCAGGTACAGCCAGAAACTTTCTGTGAAATATGAAAAGCTAATATGAAAACGGTCCAACGATTCGATTTTCCTTTTCTTCCTCTAAAATACGGTTAACCGAAATTCGAAAGCTTTCGTTGCGGACGATCGTTTCTATTTTGCGACTATTCCAACAGCAGTCGTGAACCGTGCACTTCTCTTGCTAAGAAAATGAAAGTCCGTTGTTCGGCAAGTGCCCTTCAGTTCCCAGAACCGTGTGATCCTCGAACGGACGCGTCGAGTTCCTTCCGTGGAACTCTTCGAATCTCCAACTTGTTATTTCGCCGGCTTGTAATTTCAACAATTTCAGAACGTTCAGACGTTTCCCGAGAGACGACGGGAAAGAATGAACGGAAACGAGAATACCCCCGTGTGTATCGACCAGTTTGTTGTTTCGCGTTTCGCGTTTCACGTTTCATGTTTCGTGTTTGTTGTTTCACGTTTGTTTGATATTTCAGGTGAAATTATTGCCGAAACAGGGAACCTTTGTCCCCCGAAAGACGAAGCAGGCCAACCAACCGTTCGAAACTACTTTCAGGTTACAGGTAAAAGAAAATCACAAATTCTACCGTCGATATCGCTCCATAGTAAGATAAAGCTCGGTAAATGCAGGAAAGATCGGATAAAGGCTGTTTGCGTCATTGTTCTATTTCTGATGTTTATCTATGATACACGCTTCGAGAATCGGTTAGCGATTACGACGATTGTGCAATTGCTGCAGGTGCATCTGCCCAGGAACCAATTGTACGTGTCCAGAGTCAGCCCGAGGATGAATTTGGCCGAGATTTTGGACGAGGTCTGTCGCGAAAAGAATCTGGACAGAAGCAAGTACGAACTGCGTCATCCAGGTGAGCAATCGCAACGAAAAATGAGCGCCGAGGTGAACCTGCTCGGTAAGCTACCGAACGATTAGCGGGCCAATTTAAACTGGTGAAAAGTTGGGAAACGATTGGTGCGATTGTACCAGGTATTTAATCCGATTCCCAGTAGAGTCGACCAAAGGTATTCTCGTTCGAGCACGGGCAAGAAACCTCGCCGATAAGTGACAGAGAAATAACAGAGAATTGCATCAACGATTAATAGCAAACAAAGCTGTTATCTCGATCTCCCTTGCGGAAGAAAATAAACCGATAACGCTGTGTGTCGTCGATTCCAGCGGCGGGTCGGGTGTCCAGACTCCCTAGAAAAATCTGATACACCTAGACTCGCGCCTAGTTCGGTTCGTTTACGTTTGATATTTAAACCGGTAGCACTGGCCAGCTCCCGTATTTTCAATGATTCTTTATTCTCTTAACAGGTTTCAGCGGCCAATCGAGCCGATATTTTTCCATGAAAGCTTATCACCGAGACTACTCGAAGATTGTTTGAAATAAACTCGAAAAAGTTTATTAAAATGCACTCCGAAAAACAGGATCTCCTTGGGTGTACGGAAACTTTCAAATGTCGAGCAACACTCGAAACTGAACCAGACAAACACTCGAAACCAGGCTTGACAAATTTTCCTCTTTCGACGTGGACATTTAATTCCACGTAAATTCCGCGGTATCGTGCACAGTTGTTTCGTTTGATTTTTCAAGTGAGGGGCGACCCTTTTCATTGGGAAACAATGTTGGGGTACTT